ATTGACCCAGAATTCGTCAAACCAAACAGTTTGATATTGCATGACGTTATCGACACTGACGGATACTTGGAAAGCAACTTTTTCCGTACAGATTCATTGGAGCCCGCTATAGTACTCCCCGTAACTGCCTTAGCAGTCGCCATGATGGTTTATGCACCATACATTGATTGCTGTAATAAGGTTAATGATTCCAATACGTTGGGTTTCAAGACAGCAAAACATATGAATCAGTATTCGGTAAGTTTATGTTCCTTTTCTAAGCCCCCATACCGTTATTAGGGAACTCCGATTCTTAATGTAATATGGCAATTCCTTATATTGTGAATTGTTGCAATATTTGCGAAATTCGTACTACGACTAGCTATCAGTGACTTGCACTATTTGTGTGTGTGTGTGTTTTGCCTATTTTGGGGTTGTGTGGCACCGTTGTCATTGTACGTCTTGTACCGGCCACATTGCCCCAGAGTTGGCACCCGCTTTGTTGACCCTTAACGAACTGATTGTTTCTTAATTTATTTATCCAAATATAATTACAATTTTATATTGTTGCCCTCAAAATAACTTCGAATGTCAAAAAAGGAGTTCCCTTAAGGTGATTTATCAACTCCTGGAAGAGAAAAAAGTAGCAAGGACTAACGTCAGGCGAATAACGAGGCTGAGGGGTAATTTTTTTACTGGCCAAAAACTCGTTATTGACAGTGCTCTGTGACAAGGAGCATTATCTTTATGCAATACCCAGTTGTCCTTGATCTAATGAACGGTGGTATGACTCAAATTTAACTCTTCCCCGATCATTATGTCAACCGTCGATCTGAATGCACACGATCCCGGATTCTGTCGACATTTTCATTGGTTCTTCAAGATGAAGTCCTTCAGCTTCATGGTTCATCTTCAGTCGACTCTCTTCTTTCTGAAAATGCCTTAAAACACAGAAAAACCTGGGCTCTTCACAAAATGTTATCTCTGTAGGCCTGCTGAAGTTTGGCAAGAGTTTCCGTTGCCCTGTGCCCAAGTCTGAAGCTAAACCTGATAGCACACCGAAATTGATGTTACTCATTTTTAAAACAGAATAGCAAAAAATGTTTCACGAAAAAAATCGCTACCGACAATCAAATGACTCGAGCGAACTTAAACTTGTACTAAAGGCGGATCTCATGTTCCCCTATCTCTCCTTCAAGCCCGGCGCCTCCAGTTTTGCCAGATAGAACGCTACATTGCCAGTTTCATCACTTAATCTACAGACTTCGTACCTTTCTCGTATCGAAATTAATCATCAACTTGTACTAAATCTGCTCACGTGTTCGTCCGTAGTCCTAATGTTTATATTCGGCCATGTTTCCTGCGTGACATCTATGAGCCTGCAAACCACAAATTATGGTAGGTCAATGCGGGTTGGAGTGGTTCAGGCTAATTAGAGCAAAACGTGGTAGGTGTGCGGTCACGCCTGTCAAGACAGAGTAGTACCTAGTAAGAATTTTGCACTCAACACTGCCAGATCACGATTTTACTTTCCAATGACGAAAACGCTTTGTACTTTTTGAAAACAGGTGGCGGCGGAGAAAAAGGCCAAAACGAAAGAAAAACGGCCAAACTTCGTTTTTTTACGTTTCACAGATCATTTCTGAAAATTTGTTGAGGGTAAAGTTTGGGGGTGGAGGTTGTAACGGGCTTGAGGCCGATAAATTTTGCTAGATAAAGAAAGCTATTTTTACTGATATCCATTCTAATCTACGGCTTTGTGTTTTGTTGTACAAAGTTATTACGCTTACACAATACTTGCAACTAATGTATGACTTATTTATAACCATGTCGACTGGATTATCGCATTTCTCCTTGTTGACTGTCTCAACTGTAACTGACATCTGTTCGGGTATTTGTAATACACTCAATGAGTTCCAGAGGCACGTGTCTTCTCGTTCGAAATAGAATTTCGTAGAATCCGTCTAGATGGCGATATATATTTGTACTTCTTGAGGCGTGTCGAAGGTTTGCGATGGCGTCACGAACGCGCCCGCACGCGATCGCGCTCCATACACGGTTGCGTAATTCTTGTTGCCTAAGCGTCAGTATCGCGAAGGCTTCTCCTCGTTACTCCAGTTACAAATACTGTGTATTACCGAATATGCAAATATGAAACTAAAATTGCTTGTAGTTTCATGTCGCTATAATTTAGGAAAAAATTGAATAGAGAAGTCAGAGAACGGTGAAATATTACTCAGTGATATATCTTTAAATCTTTTTTGGAAATTTTTTGAAATATAATGACGATATTTCATTGGTAATTGTATGTAAAATGATGAAGTACAACCAAAGATTGGCTGTTCCTAATTGTAAGGCTATTAATATGTGTATTTTTTTTAGTTTACTAAAATTTTAAGAACCAAAGACAAAATGTTATAGGTTTTAAGGTGTTCTAAATTTAATTTGTTGTTTTCTATATAAACATGGCTAATGTGGCAAATTTCTTGATACCTAAGCAGAAACGGTAACAAGATTTTTGAACTGGCTCTAAATTCATCGTTTTGAGGTAAATTCGATCTGTAGACAGTACCGCAATAACCTATTCCTGAAATTATTGGTGCCTTGCATAATAGCATTTTTTATTTGCTGTTCAGTAAATGTCGCTGAGATTATAGTTATTTAAAAATACTGTATGATTTTGAGCATATTTCTCACACATGAAAAGAAAACTATAATTGTGTATCAATCCAAATACAAAGGTTCCAATCACTTTTTTCAAATTATAATAATGAAACGCACCATTAGTATTGAAACCATAATATATTTGCGTGTCGTCAGCATAATGGTAAATGGAGAAGTATGAAATATATAGAGAAATCAATAGTGGACTGTTCCGCTGGCGAATATTATCGGCGCCACTGAATCAGTGCGTGTTTGATATCTTGAAACCAACTCATTATACAATAAACTCTTTATTTCAATATAGGGAGATGAACATCCCAACATTGAAGATCTGGTTTATGAGCAACGTACGGAACGCGTCGTTTTCACATTGGAAGATGGTGTTAAAGTAATGTCTGTCACTGCCGTAAATACTGGCCTTGTGAATGCAGTGTATTATTGGTACGAAATGTATTACTCTGACAAAATCAAATTCTCTACTTTGGATAGCAGCCATTACAAGAAAACCTGCTATTTTATGAAAGAGACAAAATACGTGACGAAAGGAGAAAATTTGAGTATAGAGTGTCACGTTGAAGATTCAGTGATGAAGATAACAGAAGGCACTGGACAAAGTTACAGTGAATGACATTTGAAATAAATGCAATGCATGGTAAATGATACAAAGGCTGCGACATACCTTATATTAAAAATAACACGAAAACTAATTTATAAGCATAGAAATCAAAATTCACTCAAGCGAGGTACAGGGAGTGGGAGTTGTATTACCGTTAACGTTTGCCTTTCTTGATATTCAAGTCAATGAAATAAATGTCAAGTGAGTGACAGTAACATTGATTGTCAAAACTCCCTAATACCTCGCAATTTTCTACATGTAGTGATGCCAACATATGCAGTTTATATTCATTCTTTCAGGAAGCTTGATCACTGGTGCAGAACTAAGGCTTCACTGTCTTAAATATATTGTCCTCGCCACTAACTTTTCCTGTATGTCTAAAACATTTTTAGTCGAGTTTTTCTTTTGGAGAAAATTAAATTGATGTTTTAGGTGCAATCCGAATTTTTCCGTGAATTAAGGCACATGAGAAAATCTTCCTATTTCACTTTGCCCATAGCATTTCCATCCTCAAACTTTTACATAAAAAATTATCTGATAAAACCCCTTAAAATAAATTTATGGGTCAAAACTAAAATTCCCCGATCTGACTTGGTGGGACATAATCTTGAAACGAGCTTAATTTTTTTCCTGAAAAGTACCTCTGGAGGCATTAAGCTCTGTGAAATTTCGGGATCTTAGGTCGAACCGCTCGGTTTGGAGCCGCCCTCAAAGTTTGTGTGTTTGTAAAAAATGTGGATTTTAGCGTTTTGGGAAGCATTAGACCCCGTAATTTATTCCGTACAAGGAACTCAAAATTGACCAACCTATCCCTCTATAGCTCTCCTTTAACTTGGTCGAATAGGCCTTGGATTCAATTTTCAAAATTTCTGACAAAAATTGGCCATTTTCATCATATTGGACAGCGGATCATGTCTAATATAAGGCCTAAGGACTGAAAAATCTCAAATACTTAGGTCGAGCTGTACTCTCAGGAGATGCGTTCTAAGTTCAAGAACATTTCCATTTTCTCGCTACTCTCTTTATCGTAAAAAGCGTTAAGCCTCGCAATATATGACTATTCGAAGTAAAATTGTTCGGAGAATTAAAAAGGGCTTCCAAATTTAGATCTGCTAATGCGTTCGGTAGATTTAGTGTATTTTTAAAAAATTTTCGTTGTTTCATTGGGCTGACAATTCCAAAACACGTCCCCAAAATTTTTTTTTCATAAAGTAGGATGATCAATCAATCACTCTATATGAGTTGGAGTTTGTTCCCGGATCTCTAAATTGGCCGAATTGGTCATTTAAATGAGATTTCAGATCATAATTGTTGTTGATGCCTAAAATAAATGACATTTCGTCTTTAATTAGTGTAAATAAAAGCAGCAACATTACTGCTTTTATACTCTGCAAAAAAAATTACTGCCTTTTATCATAGTTTCCATAATCTATTGATGTTATTTTTTCAAAGCAAAAACTCAATAATGCAGAATTTTACTTTATTATTATATAATTTATTCATATTGAAATACGTACATAAATGGCACAAAAGTAAACATATTCAACATCTAATAATTCAATTTAATAATTATATGATTACATGTAATAATAACATTCAACAAAAATTATTATATAAATAAACTAAAAACAGCATGTTTTCCTATATGTTAAGTTAACCGAAGATTATTTTTCAAAATTATAAATACTTATTTACAAATAGAATTATTACTGAAAAAATTAAATAAGTAAACAGAATAGGTATATAGGTATATAGGTCAAAAAGGCAGTACTTGTACCTTACAGAGATTAAACAGTATAGTTTGAAGGCTTTTTTATTTTGATAAATTGATTTGTTTTTATGTTTATGGGAGATTTAGTTAATATGAAATATTTGGCAAACTGAAATCTAACTATTTTTGTTAAACAACGTGATCAATGATATATTTTTACTTGTTATCATAAAATACTTTTTTTACCAAACCTTTAAACTTTGAGCGCGACTCCACTCCAAACCGTCCGTCCTAGTACCATTAATATTACAGAGCTCATGCCTCCATGGATACATTCCAGACAAAAAAAATGAGCCCGATTTAAGATATGACCCGTCAATATGCGATTTAATAACCTATAAAAAATATTCGTATAAATACAGGTTCGGAAATACAACTTTAACGCCATGAATCTGGCAATAGAGCGTATTTTTACGAACTATTCAAATTATTTCTCAATATATCTTCTATTTTAGAGATATTGCAATTGGTTTTTTGAATTATTATGGTAACCCGATTTTTTAAAATCTTACTAACTGCACGTATTTATTTTCAATTTCATTCAGTGTAACTGTATTCCGAGGTTAAAACTCTCATGTACTCCACTAGTTGTACAAAAATACTTTGTATATAACTCTTAAGACTATACTTTATTATTTAATGTTAAAGGTTTTTAAAGGTAGTTGTAAATAAAAATGAACACTATCGATCTTATCTTTATAAAAATCTTGTAAACCTTGAAGCAGCTGCAGCTAATTTTCTGAATGTGTTGCTGCCAAGTGTTTCTGCGTAACCTGAAAAAAACATTCTGCTGAGTATGGCGTCATATCACAGAGACGGTGTACACATTAGTTTGTCACCCTCATTGACCTTTTCGCTTTAATTAGTTTGGAACTACATTTCTGGTTGCCTTTATTATCACATTTTGCAACAAAAAAAGAGACATTTATGAGCAAACTTCAGTACATTTAATTTCCGAAAATATAATGCAGACCCTTGAAACATATTTGACTCTGCATAATCTTAAAGATCTCATTTGATAAAATATGAGTGCCATATTTAGTAACTAATCAAGCTTATAAGCATACTATTTACTATGGGATCCACGGATGAACATGAAACAATCATTAGGATATTATTTGCCTTGTATTTTTTTGTCAATGCACTTATTTTCCAACGTGCAGCGTGCACATTAAATGTGAAATATATTTGGTAGATAAATATCCCCATCATGAATAAAACCCTAAATATAAGCAAATTCGAACAAAAAATGCTTAATCTTTTGTAACATGATGTACAATAAATGTATCCAAAATGAATTAGCTATCCGGCAACACCGCACCCATCTCTTCCCAAATAACAACAGAGTCGTTCTGTCGGTTTAAATTAGTTTCCCTCTAATTTTATTCGGTTTCTCTAATTACATTCTCTTTGGTCAAATTATATACTCATGTATGAGAAGTGGTCGAAAGAATCAAAAAATAAAAAAGCTATTGAAAGTATTTAGAATTAGTGCAAAGTTACCGATGTAGAGGAGTACATTCAGAACTGTCATTATGACTGTTCGTTTGTTTCTGGAGTGTCAAGATATGGAACAATTCACCAGAAGAGATTTTCCGCTATCGAAATTATCCAACTCCGGCTCCAGTTTACCTTTAGAAGTTAAAAACTCTTGAATAAATGGTGCTACTCTCTCCGGATGTACATTGTGAACATCGTGATATCCCTCCACTTCAAAATACTTGAAGTTGTCTCGTTTCTTCAGTTCGTTCAGCACGGGTGTGAACAATTTGGTGGTATAATCGTTTCCTTTGGCTAAAATCATCAATGTTGGACACTGCAGTGGGTGCTTTTTCAAACTGTGTACTGCAAAGTTGCAGTCATGAAGCGGATCAATGTAATACTTCATTCTTTGGTCTAATGTAAATATGTATTGGTCGTCCCCTGGAACAATTCAATCATACGAACCGTTTTATATTTATTTACTCATGTTGTTTGTTCTCTTTGAACATTGAGTGTTAACATAAATAAAGTAATGCGTTTTGGAGTATCCCATTTGCCACAGGTGAATTTATTAGCCCGATTTAAGAAATGATCCCGCCAATGTGTGATATAATAACCTATAAAAATATACATATACATACAAGTTCATAAATACAACTTACTCTGGCAACATAGCGTATTAGGGCCTATATTTTTACGAACTATTCAAGTTATTTTGAAGTCATGAAGCGGATCGTTATTTGGTCTAATGTGAATATGTATTGGTCGTCCCTTGGAACAATACATTTCAATCATACGAACCATTAACATAAATAAATGCGTTTTTGAGTACCCCATTTGCCAAACGTGGATTTATTAGGAGCTACGAAATGATATGGACAAAAGGAGGAATCTCATGCCGAGTTATTACGTAAATAGCCTATGTAATGTCAAAAAAACGACAAAATGTCAACTTGCTGATTAGATAGCTGCTGGTTTGCAAATAGTTTATTCCGCGTTTGCTTGCTGTTAGCGCCACCTTTGGACGAATGACTCAACGACATGATCAACGGCCCTGCTGAAAGCAATTCGCCAGCATGCTTTGTTGGTTGCAGAATGCCGGAATAGTATGTACAGTTTTATATCTGAGATGATGTGGCAGAGATAAAATTGGTTGAGTAGCAGAGTAGCAAGATCGCATCTGGATGATTGTGTGCATTAGTCTGTATATGTATAAAATCAGTAATATTTGCTATGAGAGAAAATTATTACTGAATATGAATATTTATGTGTTGTCCTTTCTGAAAAGAGTTTATGTTCAAAGTTATAAATTATGACTTTCTCCGGTTTGAAAAAATTTTAGAAGCTTTGCAGGAAATCACCTCCGCGCCCGCTTTAAGTGTAATCAAACCACATCACAGAAAAATTAGGAATGACGCATCACACACTAAACATTTTCGCAGTCCTCACATCTAGGCGCTGATTTGTATGTTCTACTTGACATCCCATTCTATGAAATTTTAATGACTGGAAATAAAAAATAATGTAAAATATAATAGCCCTTTCACGTTTCCAAAATATTCCTGTCTTCACCAACCACGGTTTTTTATCTCTCTCATTTTTGAAATGTATCAAATTTTCATATGTAATTTCCAGGATAAATAAGAAAAAGTGGAGGCTCAACTAATTTCTAGCTTTGCATACATTTCAAGTAACTGTATTTGAGACAAGAAACCAAGGAGCCGCTATGCACTGTCGTTTTGCGCGTTTATTTCCAGCTATAGTATACAGCTTACAGCTCAGAACTCCAATATTGCCATTTCTGAAGCAGATTTTACATCACATCAGAGCCAAACCATAATAGCTCAAGCCTCTCATGACGTTTAGGCAACACGACGAGTGCGCATCAAGTGAACAATAGCTAGTTCCAAGTTAACATCTTATAGGAAAACCTACATAATGTCACTTTTCAAGATTCACAATATCCCTGCCGGACTTTCAGATGAGACTCCAATTGTTTAAAATGGACTCTGATTTGAAAGTAACAGTCCCTTGACACAACGTGTAAACATAAGCTGTTTTTTCTTCTTCAAAAAGGCACAATTTTCCTCTCAGTGGACATAATTATAATAGCTTGTGTAGCAGTACCTGTTTTTATGAACCTTTTTGCCTACACGTTAATGACAATCGAAATGACAAGTGACATAAACTTACCTACTTTCCGTAACCCACGTTTCAACAAAACTTCTGTAGCTTTATCAGATATGGGCGGTCCGTTATCCCTGTTGCATTTAACTTTGTTAAAGGCTTCTTCATATTTATATTTCGGTTGCTTTCCTGTTGCCAGTTTATTATGAACACTAAAGTGATCTTGAAATATTTTTAGCATATGTATTATGTAGTCATCTGCTTTAATCGGGTAGGCATGTATTCCTTCAATCATTATAAATTTTTCTACTAAATGTGGATACATTCTTGAGAAAAGAATGCCTAATTGTGCACCATAACTGTGACCTAAAGAAGAGATTGGAAATCATAATGTAGATACAATTTACCGGTGGAAAAAAATAAATGTTTAGTTTTTGAGAATCCAAATTCCATGTCAAAAACTTTTAAGAATAGCAGTGATCCAGGATATTTCAAAAATTATACATGTAGATAGACATGGTACTTCCTATGCATCCATTTTTGTAGAATGTCATTATAAGAAAATTTTTGCTATTATGTTATTCAATTGTTAGATTAGCTGGAATTATTGTGTTCTAAAAGATAAGGAGTAAAACTACGGCGATGTGATGATTATCGTTTTCCTTGAGTCTAATTTTGTTTGCTTTGATAGGGTGACTTGTAATGTCACGTATTCCTGTTCAGGGGTGATAGATTAGGTCAAAAGCAACCGATTTTGTCCTATCATGTCTTATCCAAAAGTGAACCATTTTTGAGTTATTTGAATTTTAAGTTTTTTATTTATTCCGATTTCAGACGGTTAAAATTGAAATACAAAAAAACTGCATGCTTGATTTAGAGTTTTTTGTTATCGTCGCAAAGCAGACATTCCTATAGTTTATAATAAGTAATAAAATGTTGAAAAGCTACAAACGTTTTAAAATCACGCTTTCGTATCATTTTCTTTTTTTTACTAACTTATTCGATAAAAAATGCAATTTTCTGTAAAAAATCTCCTAGTAATGAAATGTTCAAATTATGTAAATAATATCTCTATCTAACAAGCTTTCATTTGAGGTATTAAGCGTTCAATTATCTGAAGTACATGCAGAGAAACAACAATGACACCCACAGAGGCTGGATTTTTAAGGAATTTGTATTACCTGTTTGAACAAGTCGTTACTGTCCTCAAAGGACTCGCATGCCATGATTGTTTTATGGCATCGGCTCGACGAGGAAGCGAGCAAGAAGAGCTGACTTAGTGGAGGAGTGAGAGAGAGAGAGAGCTGTTATTATTCATCATTGTAGTTACGCCATCGCCGCACGCCGAGTGAGAATTAGGTTTAGTTTCGAGTTTCCCAGTTCATTTCGAGTTGTTTCTTTATCATCATGGCAGATGCAGAAGATCCGCCAGGACCTCGCCATAGTGATCACGGGCAAACTTTTACAAATGAAGAATACGCAGACATAAGGACGGGATCACTAACTACCATAATGCTCATTACTGGGCTGATAAAGAAGCTTTAAACCCCCGAAAAATAAGACCGACGGGGTCTCAGAGCCGGTTTTCAGTCAATGTGTGGATGGGCATCATTGATGGATATTTAATTGGACCTCATTTTCTGCCCGCCAATTTAAATGGAGAAGTGTATGAAGAGTTCTTGAAAAATCACTTGTTTCCATTAATGGAAGACGTCCCATTGACGACGAGACAAAATATGCGGTTCCAGCACGACGGCTGTCCCGCACACTACAGTAGATTAGTACGGGCGTATTTAGACTCTAAATTTCCAAATCAATGGATTGACAGAGGCGGGCCCACTGCCTGGCCAGCAAGAAGCCCAGATCTCACACCGATGGATTACTATCTGTGGGGACATATGAAAAGCCTGGTGTACGATGTTTCGCCCGTACCAACGCGCGATGAATTAAGTGATAATCAGTGCAGCTGACCAAATAAAAAGTCGCTTAACTACTAGAGTTACCAAAACTGAATTACGTAAGAGAATGCGGGCGTGTATTCGTAACAGGGGATTACAATTTGAGCAGAATCTGTAAGATACTAAAGGAAATGTAATTAAATAAAACTGTAATTAAAATAAGCCTTTTATTTATCCTACGTAATTATCGTTCGTACAACTTTACTCATCTTTTTTTAATTTTATGTCTTTGTACTTGAGTTAGTTGTAACTTTTGTACCTCAAATGAAAGCTTGTTAGATAGAGATATTATTTACATAATTTGCAAATTTCATTACAAGGAGATTTTTTACAGAAAATTGCATTTTTTATCGAATAAGTTAGTAAAAACATAAGAAAATCATACATTTCAAAAGCGTAATTTTAAAACTTTTGTAAGCTTTCAAAATTTTATTACCTATTATGAACTATTGGAATGTCCGCTATGCGACGATAACAAAAAACTCAAAATCAAATATGTAGTTGTTTTGTATTTCAAATTTAACCGTCTGAAATCGGAATAAAAATAAAAAAAAATTCAAATAACTCAAATACGGTTAACTTCTGGATAGGACATTATAGGACAAAATCGGTTGCTTTTGACCTAATCTATCACCCCTTAACAGGAATACGTGACATTACAAGTCACCCTGTATACTGTCTGAAGAAATCGACATGTAAATACAAAAATGTATTTTCGTTATGTCGATGACACAATGTTATCTAACGTTATCTTACGTTCTTACAAATAGTTTAAGATAATCGATTTCTCATGTGATACCATAATTTTCATGATTAAAGAATACGTAGAACTGCAGCGATCGATTACTCAAAAAGTTATATGTTATAGATTGACTTAGTCAAATCTAAGTTTATTTCAAAAAAACTGATATACTCATAGTTAGCTTTGAAAATAACATTTTATCACATGTTTATCCGATTAAATCACCGATGCATCAGTGTTTGAATAGCGTTATAAAGAAAATTGAGGTAATTCGAGAATTGATCGAATATAACGAGCATTGTATTAGCACGATGGAGACGCTCTACATAACATCTCGGCCGTAGATTAGTACTATTTTTTGAATACCTATTGATCGACCAGCCAAAGATTGCTAGGGACGAAAGGGGGAAATGCGATGAAAAAACCTTACCATTAGACGATTTTATATGGAGTCATAGGCGGAGATCGGAGAGACTTGAATTATTAATTGAATTTATATTTTATTACAACTGGTAGTATTAATATTTTTTTGCGATTCATAATGACGTGATACCAAACATACATTATAAGAAATAAATATACACAAACACTGAATATTGAGAACAAAATAAATATATTTTTTAGGCAACAAGTAATATTCCTATGTACGCATTATGATTGAACAGCAAAACAAATTATGCATTCTTCTAAAATAGAATACAACAAGTCAAAATATCTGACTGAATAGAAAAATATAGGAAAACAAAAAGTAATTTCTTGATGAAATAACCCATAAACAACACATAGAATTAGACTTTCTACTGAGATACTAAAAGCCACAAACCAATAGTATAATAAATGAATATCTAAAAATTCTAAAAGGTAGCCAATCTAGTATAGTTTCAATCCTGATTAGAGTCATGATCACTGTCTGAGGAACTGTCATTGCTATCACTTTCACCTCCTATGTTGATTATTATTTCTTCCTGTATTTCTTGAATGAGACTGTCTTTTTCCCAATATTCATCTTCAATTTTTATAACATGTCCAATAACCTTTTGCCAGTCACTGGCACTTACTGAAGCGATGGCCTTATTAGAAATTTCATCTAGTTTTTTTATAGTAAATTCGCCGCTTGTATTATGGCTTCTAATGAAAAATTTTACTTGTGCCCAAATCATCTCTATGGGATTAAACTGACACATATAGGGTGGCGTTCGAAGTGGGGTGTGTCCGAAACTTCTTATTAAATTATCTATCTTATAATTTTTCTCATCAGATGGTGGCCTATGTAGACAAGCTATTTCATAAAGCTCCATTTTTTTAGCATTAGGATCATGCTCTATACCTTTTTTGCTCAACCACGTGATGATGTCTCTTTTTAGAGAAGATCTAGTTGGAGGCTTGTCTTCCAAAGCTGAATGGTAAGGTGCATTATCCATTATTATAATACTATTAGGAGGAATGTTAGGAAATAGTTTTTCAGTAAGCCACTTCGTGAAATTTTCTTGGTTCATTTGACCGTGATAATCACCAGTGGCACAGCCAGCCTTGAAAATGAGACAGGCTCCAGGAACAAAACCATCTTGCGAACCCGCATGAACAATTATAAGTCGTCCTGGAAATGAATAAATAGCCTCATTTTAGTGTTATTTTAAGTTTGCCAACACCTTTTTGAATCACTATGTATAAAAAACATATTTTTGAGAAAAAAATACTTGCAAGGGATTATGTATTCAATTAGACAAATTAAATGAGCACTTATTAAGAATATTCCAAAATTGAGAAAAATGTATAATAAGCAAAATCGAGGTGAAAGAAACTTTATTACCTGTAGAACTTATATTGCTCAGGACACCCATAATTTCTTCGCTTTGCCAGCATTTCTTGAAAGTGAGGTCATTATCAACCCAAGTTTCGTCCAAATAAATAATATGCCTTCCTTCTTCCCGGAACTTTTTAATAGACCTAAGATACTTGTATCGCCAATGTAAAATACTGGGTCTTTCCATTAGTAATTTCCTTTTGTTGTGGCATTTACGCCAGTAAAATCCTTTTGCTTTTAAAAGCAGCCTCAACGATTCTTTACCAAATGGAAATTCCATTTCTTCCTTCAGTTTGATTAGAAGTTTACTACAAGTAGGTACCACTTTAAAATCACAGTAAAATTTTTCTATCATTCTCCGAATAATGGAAAAATCGACTCCATCAATTTTTTGGATCACAGAAGGGCGTGATCTCTTTTTTCCGGGAGAAGCTAAAGGCTGTGTGGAGGTTGCATTTTGCCTGTCTTTATCTTCTTTTCTAATTTTACTTATAGTTCGTTCACTAACACCCGTATAATATGCCGCCCTTGCATTTCTAGCTACCAGTGGATAAACGAAAGTATTGTTAGCCGCTTCTGCATCGCAAGCACGTATCACGTTTGCTATTATTTCCCTTGCCTGGCTGTGAATAACTTTCCCATGCTTGAATTCCATTATCACCACTAAACAGTAAATTATATTTTCAAAGTATTTGCCAACTGCCTACGCCTATGGGAGTAGGTTTATAAATGACCGTGCCATCGGCACGTTATTCTAGTTTCAGATAAGATAAGAGTTTTGGACCAATCAGCGACCGGATGTTTACCTGCGGCCTGGGTTTTCCAGCTACATTGCCAAATTCAGCGGAATAATTCTATATCTTAAATATGTTAATATGTATGGACCGCATTTTATGTAGAACATCTGACAACTTCGCAATTTTTTGTCCGCATTCTTTCGGCTTGCAATCTTTCGCTGGTCCAACATTACAATATGTGTGCATCGATTTAAATATGGCAGATATAAAATGTGTTTAGGGAACTTTTATTTACTACAACATGTTTCCATTAGTTACATAAAATAGTACTCTTCCCATTGTTTTCAATACGATCCTTAAATAATACAATCAGGTTTTACCATTAGGTTGTTCTTTATTTGATGAATCAAGACCAACTTTAGGAATATTACTTTTCCAGATATTTGAGGTTTTAAAATATTAATCTGTGTTAAGACATGTACAACATCACATCATTAAAACCTACACGTAGGTCGTTCAAACTGAAAAATGCTTGCTTGGCTGATCATATTACGAAGCAAATGACTATCTGACAATTTTGAGGCCTACTTAGGAAATTAAGTTTTTTGGAAACAATTGAGGTTTGGCAATGTGAGTGCATGACATATTGTATATTCTTAGAATCAGAATAAAAAACTCTATTCACCTATGAAAAAATTAAACATGGCATCTAGAAGAAAAAATGAAATAAAATTGCTGAGGGCAAGAGACGAAACGTCATGTTGAAATTCTAATCATACCATCATGTTGTTCATTATAATTTTTCCATAGGCTTCGGAAACTATTAATTTGTATAGACAACCTTATACAAAATTAATCTCACTTTTTGCTTAATACGATAAATATAAGATGGTTTCCATGTTCAAAGTTTACTTCTCGGATTTTTGTATTCTATTTTTTAACCACCCTGTGCTATGTGATATCCAAGTCCAGAATAAAATCTACTAAAGTAGCTCCCATACTATAAGGAACCAATTACAAATGATAAAAATACGAGAAGAAATTAATTGGCCTGCATTTGTCATTTCTTAATCAAAATTTGAAAAATCTCAAAAGCAATTTGACTTAAATGTAGGCATTGATTAACGAACTCTACCTGGTGGAATAGATTGATCAATGATGAAACGCATTTCGAATCTTGCATATTGAATTATTTACAGGATGTTCTGTTTAAAACAACCAAGATGCCGAATTGCTCCCGTCAGTTACACTGTCAATTCAAATGTTCAACACCCGCATGTATGTGGGAATAAACAAGAATGGTGGAAATAAGATACGAAACTATATCGTCTTTTCGGTATTATATCAACTCACCTAATAGAATAAAGCTTTTTTCATCAAAGTACTTGCTCATAATCCTATAGACCAGTAGAAAGTTGAGCGTATGCAGAGGTAGATGAGGTGGAAAATGTGAGGATTTGCCATGTCCTGGTAAATCTATGCAAACGTAACGAAATTTATCAGGTAATAGCGGTATTAAGTTGTCAAAGGCTCCAGCGTTGTCCATTCGGCCATGTACCGTCAATACTATAGGAAGGCTTTCTTCTCCCCATATTTTTGCTGAAAATAAAAAATTATATAGAATTATAGATAAATAATATGTGACATGGCATTATTTAACCTTTAACTTCGAAGAGGCTACTGATGACTCGTCGAAATAACCGACCAATTTCCATCTTATGCAATTTTCTAAAATATTTGAAAAAATGTTAAAAAAGCGATTTACCGAATTTGCAAAAATTATAAATTAATTGCGGAACAGCAATATGGTTTTCAAGAAGGCAAATCTACTCAAGATGCTATTGTAGAATTAACAAGTAACATATGCGTATCTCGATATTGTCAAATTAGCTGCGTGTTTTTGTTGACTTGGCAAAGGTATTCGAGTCTATCACTGATAAATCGCTTTTAACAACTTTAGAAAATGTAGGTTTCCGTGAAATAATTATTTGTCAAATCGAAGAGAGTGGGTCAAAATTAACAATACATTTAGTGAACACCATATCGTATCGTAAGGTTCAGTCTTAGGTCCCATTTTATTCAATGTATTTTTCAACGATTTGTTCAAAATAGTGCGGGTAAAGTTATCGGTGTTATGGATGATACAACTATCATCTATAAAAATGTCTTTCCGGAAAGAACTATGACAATTAATTACAAAAAACACACTACATATAACATATAGCATCATTTTCTTGTGACGATAAGCTCTCACCACAATTTAGTAACCCTGAATTTCATACAAGCAGTGGTCTTAAACGGATTCAGTCAACCGATACAATAAAATACTTGGGCGTAATTTTGGACAAACACTTGAAGTAGAATGCCCATACAGAGTGCCTGGTGAAGAGTCTGAGATGTATTATTCCAAAATTCAAATACTTCAGAGATATTCTGCTGGATATACAATGCTCTGGTTTACCCTCTACTCTACTAAATTTTGACTTGGGGGAGTTATGAATAATATTTACAAAAAGGTTGATGTTAACCAAAAATTGGTTCTAAAGTTGATTCTTCGTAAGGAGGTTACTTATCCAAGCATTCTCTATATGTGGAGGCTCAACTATTAGATTACAGACAAATTTATTTTTATTGATGTCTACAAGGTCTGTTGGACAAATAAAAAAATGGACAAACATTTTTTGTTTTGGAAAATCCAATTTATTTTACTCAAAGTTAATACAGCGATTTGCACAGACCAAACGATTTTTGAATGATGATTTAGATCATTGACCTTCAAAATGGTCGTTGACGCCTTTTGGATGGCTTCTACGTCAGAATACCTACCGCTACCCTTCATGGCCAGATCTAGTTTACCGAACTGAAAATAGTCACACAGTGTCATAACAGGAGAGTATGGGGAGGAAATGAATTTATAAACATTTTTTTATCTGCCAGCCTTTCAGAAGCTTTCTCACACCATGCCACCTAGCCTATAAATTGTCTCTATAATAGAGTATTTTTTTGAGGTACAACTGATTTTGGGGAATCATTTCCTTGGGGGGTGAAAATGAATTTATAAACATATTTTTTATCTGCCAGCCTTTCAGAAGCTTTCTCACACCATGCCACCTAGCCTATAAATTGTCTCTATAATAGAGTATTTTTTTGAAACTGATTTTGGGGAATCATTTCCTTGGGGGTGAAAATGATTTTATAAACATATTTTTTTATCTGCCAGCCTTTCATAAGCTTTCTCACACCATGCCACCTAGCCTATAAATTGTCTCTATAATAGAGTATTTTTTTGAGGTACAACTGATTTTGGGGAATCATTTCCTTGGGGGTGAAAATGAACTTATAAACATATTTTTTATCTGCCAGCCTTTCAGAAGCTTTCTCACACCATGCCACCTAGCCTATAAATTGTCTCTATAGTAGGGTATTTTTTTGAGGTACAACTGATTTTGGGGAATCATTTCCTTGGGGGTGAAAATGAATTTATAAACATATTTTTTATCTGCCAGCCTTTCAGAAGCTTTCTCACACCATGCCACCTAGCCTATAAATTGTCTCTATAATAGAGTATTGTTTTGAGGTACACCAGATTTTGGGGAATCATGTCCTTGGGGGTGAAAATGATTTTATAAACATATTTTTTTATCTGCCAGCCTTTCAGAAGCTTTCTCACACCATGCCACCTAACCTATAAATTGTCTCTATAATAGAGTATTTTTTTGAGGTACAACTGATTTTGGGGAATCATTTCCTTGGGGGTGAAAATGAACTTATAAACATATTTTTTATCTGCCAGCCTTTCAGAAGCTTTCTCACACCATGCCACCTAGCCTATAAATTGTCTCTATAGTAGGGTATTTTTTTGAGGTACAACTGATTTTGGGGAATCATTTCCTTGGGGGTGAAAATGAATTTATAAACATATTTTTTATCTGCCAGCCTTTCAGAAGCTTTCTCACACCATGTCACCTAGCCTATAAATTGTCTCTATAATAGAGTATTTTTTTGAAACTGATTTTGGGGAATCATTTCCTTGGGGGTGAAAATGAATTTATAAACATATATTTTAATCTGCCAGCCTTTCAGAAGCTTTCTCGCACCATGCCACCTAGCCTGTAAATTGTTTCTATAACAGAGTATTTTTTTGAGGTACAACTCATTTTGGGGAATCATTTCCTTGGGGGTGAAAATAAATTTTTAATTATATTTTCTCATCTGCCACCCTTCAGAAGCTTTTTCACACCATGCCACCTAGCCCATGAATTGTCTCTGTAATAGAGTATTTTTTTGAGATATAAATCATTTTGGGGAATCATTTTATAAAATGAGGTTTTATTTAAACTTTTTTATCTACCACCCCTTTAGAGATTTTCTCAGTATATGCTATTTAGCTCATTATTTACTTTCAATACCATATATACAATAATCCGTAAGTGCAAATTCAAAGAAAGGTTTTGGGTTAACTTTTGTTCCTGCGAATTATTTAATAGGGGTGGAAAATGATTCTTTCTATAGGGGTGCTTATTCTCGTGCATATATATTTATTGTTGCAAGCTGTTAGCTGTATCCTTCACAATCACAGTCTGGTCGAGGATGTCGACGCCACTGGTCATTCGGGTATCTTCGGCAAATTGTCTGCTAAGTTTTGTCTGTCAACTTCATACCGGTTTTTTCTTAGGACCAAAATTCGTACACTCCATACCAGAGCCATTGAAATAATTAAATCATTTAAAAACGACATCAAGAAATGGATTTTACAACAACCAAGATGCTCCTCCACGAAATTGTAGACATGAAAAATTAATATCAAAATCAATAACATTCTACTTTACCAAATTATAAATCAAATTCAAGCGGATAACCAAATGGAAATGGTATTTACCATTTTGGATTGGTATTTACCGATCCGTTCAAGCGAGTGTGGTTATCAGTTTGGTTATAAGATCCGTGACGTCACGAATCAGCTGTTATATGTCATAGTTATCACCGCAAAATTGTGGTATTTACCCAACTCCGGAGTAGTTTTATATTTCTGGTTATTATTTGACATGTGACAAGTTAAAATTTTGCCGGGTATTGGATATATTTATTGTACTGCAGCTTCATTTTTGGGAAACTTGATACAGGCTGACTTCAGTTTTAGCATAAGAGAGCACCTTATTATTTATAATCATCACTGTTGTTGGGGACACTTTAAATCTAGTTCCTCCACAAAAAGTATCCTGTATAGCCATATACCACAAGAATATTAAAATATGGCCGTATAAACTCACTGGATGATGTCCACCTGTATACGATTTTGTTAATATCTTTTTTCATCGCTTTTTCATCATTTCTGCTAAATCAATAAATATTTTTTTTGACATGCGGAAAAGCTTAGAGAATTGAAAGTTATCATAGCTACAAAGCCATGGTTCCATCAGTAAAAATTTTTTTCGGAAAAAAAAAACATTCCTCCCATTAATATTATGAAAGTTTTCTTTTTTTCAACTTTACATACCCCGTTGTAGACGAAAAAGCACCGATTATTAAGTGACAATAAAAATAATCAGAAATTATATACGGGCTTTTCTAAAATAAACAACTTGCAACAAACCGCGGTTAAAACCAACGCGTTCAAGCGATTCGAGTAACTGACGTCACCATCCCGTGTGTCATCTTGAACCATATTATAACCGCGGTACATAATACGGAAATTTTGGTTATCCGCTTGGATTTGATTATAGTGTTTACATTGTTCAGTTATTGATTCTACTTCTAGTTTTGACAATCCCAAGCTGCAAAGTTGTTTTGGGTAATTTTCATTTGATGTGCCCTATATTTAGGGTTTACCTTTACTTTGTGATAATAAACGTTATTATTAAAAAAATGATTTAAAAATGAGGTGTGAAAAGTGTTTTATCCAAAGGCGCCATAATTTCGTCATTGTGGAATATGACTTCGTAAAAATAATTATTTCAAGGCCAAGAACCTAGTTAGATAATAAACTATAGGTACTAACCATGTTCTTGAGTTGATTATAATTATGATATCAATGATGGATAAAATATGAAGAATTTTTTAACATAGGTACTTACCTGCAATGTACCCCCAAGGAACTTTGATCTCGATATCATGAGCATTTTTATTTATCACTGACATTTCGCAGTTCGTTAATATTTCGAACGTAGAAGAGCGTCTTATGAATTGGGGACAGAGAGAGATTAGCTTTCATTTCTTGATAACGAAATGCGTTTTAACCAAGTTTTAACTTGTATTTCTTAACAGGAGCGGACCCAGTTATTGGGGTTGAGGGGCAATTTCTTATGGACTTTTTTTCTTGGGAAAAATTCTATCGTGGGTTTCATGCTAGAGAAGCAGCTCCCCAAGCAATAATAATAAAATTATTTAATTCACAACACGTATAAACCCAATTACGGGAAATTTCAAAGGATACAAAATAAAATGAACTAGGTTTTACTACTGTAAATGTATTATGAAATTCATTTAAAAGAAAGCTTGTCACCTGTCGTAGGGGTATGAAACGTCTTATGGGCGAACTGGCAACACCAAGGCCATACTCTCCAGGCAAAATCGAGGTAACTGTATTACCGGCATCGCGTCACATGCTGCCTGCCGGGAATCACGGTCGCCAGGCGTAGCATTTTTCGCCAAAGTGGCTTCAAAGGCATATCTTGGCGATTGGCTACTTTAATGGTGCCCAATATCCAGCAAACTGGCGATATCTGGCGATTTTTAACATTTCTGACGCCAATTAATTTGTAATCAATTCTTTGCTGATATGTGTATTCAAAGGAAATCCAAATTTGCCTGACGGCTTAAGTTCAATGTGTTCGAGAGAGAAGTGTCTATTGACACATATGCCTAAAACAGGTAGAAGCCGGCTGGATAGCGAAGCTCATCACCGCATTGCCTATCAACTCTGACGCGACAATCTGCCTCGTGGAACTGGTGTAACATAGGGAAAAATGAGGTAATTTCAAATGAAAGCTGACGAATGACACTATTTTTTCTGAATCTTCAGTATGGTAGATCCCAAACCTTCTGTTCTGGTATTAGTGGTTTTATTTTTTCAACACATATATTCAGTTATGTATGGTTACCTTCGTAACTAAAATTTAAACTGACATTTTTTGGGTGTATCCTTCGCTAGTATAACCGCATGCTTGTGGTTCCCGAAGCAAAATATATGTATTTTACATACATATAAAAACGAATCAACTGATTTATCGTGTTAAGTAATTTGAATCTGCATTTTCCATACTTTGATGAGCCGTGTTATAGACATAAAATGGGATAAAGCCCTTATCCTAATTTTCTATTTTGAATTCAGATGTCTCATGTATGTATGAAGATTCCAGAGGATAACGAATATCAAAGGTTTTTTTTTGTTTTTTTATATCGAAGCAGCCGCGCAGGCAGAAGCCTAAATGCCGGAACATCGCGGCTGCTATGATGATCCCAAAGACATTTTGTTAATACGATTCTTGAACTGCCCAAGGTCAGCAGAACTGGGAAAAGCTTACTGTTGTAGATTGTTCCACAATTTCGACACCCTCGGGACAAAGGAGCGGTCGTATCGGCCAGTTCTGGATGGACGAAGTCGGACACGGTTAGGATGGGACACCAAAGTCAGGCGGGTCTGTCTGGCAGGCACATCGCGGGGCATCAAGGAAGAGTGCTATGAGGAGCAAAGCCCGTTGATATAACGGTAGAAAAGAGCTAGATCGCCGACGGCCCGCCGGTGCGAAAGAGTCCCGAGACTGTCTGTTGGAGAAGAGTCATCGATCAGTCGGGCCTTGTATAGACTGAGAAGGTCGTGCGGAGAAAAGTACTTCTTAGCCCTAAACAGATAGCCTAGCTTTTTCCCAGCAGCTGTAGCTATTGACGAAATGGGTTCGAGCCAGATTAGGTCCTCGGTGATCTGGACTGCGACCAGCCGAAATGAATGGCTCTTTGCAGAACTCGGCCATCCATCGAAACCGGATGAGCGATAGGACGCTTTTTGTTCTTTTTTCCAGCTCAGCGGCAGAGATCGGCTTGTCACTCTGAATTCCTGCATGTAGAGTGCTGTCATCAGCGAAGCTGGCAGGAATCAAGTCCGGACCAGAAGCTTTGTTGATGTCGAGCGACAAGAGCACTCGTCTTACGGTCTCATGCCTGAATGTTACCTCCCGCATAGTGCAGGGAACCCTTTGAATTGACGGCACTTGGGCGTTGGTGGGGTTTTCAGTAAAGATCTTGCGCCTTTGAGTCGAATACAATAGTTCCATCCTGACACGTAAGTGGTGGAAGGCTACTACTGTGTGAGAAGTTCTTTTCAATCTGCTTGGCCAGCGTCCAGAAGGACCGACTGCCATTGCGCCGCGACATCACCCTGTGCCTAACTTTTATATCGTGCTGGTTTTTGGCATTGCGAACCGCTTCGTTATATACTAAGTGACATATAAATCCGAACACCCAGTTTAAATGGTTTTATTTTAATAAAAGTTGGTGAATGTATTTATCTTACTGTAAATAAGTGAAAAAATTTTCAGCCTTATCAGTTAGACATTCTGGTTTTATACTGCTTTTTTTAATTCACTAACGCTCTAAAAATGAATATTTCAGCCGCAGTAAAGAATCAACGTTGGCGGATTTTGGTTCTTGACATCCTTTACGATCGGTTACGATGCCTAGAGTACGGAGACCTGTACGATTTCGTCAACTTAGTAAGTTTGATAGGGGCCGTATACTGGGACTTCGGGAAGCTGGAATTTCTTTTCGGGCAATTGCAGTTAGAGTGCAAAGAAGTGTAGACACTGTGGTTAGGTGTTGTCAGGCATGGCTTCGAGAAGGCCGCACGCAAAGAGCAAGGGGCACTGGCCGCCGCCGTAGAACAACAGACCGTGAAGATCGCCGCCTAAGATTATTGACCTTAAGGGACCGTTTCTCCACTAACAGGTCCATTGCAAATGAATGGTTTGCAGAACACGGAAGACCTATTGGCATGCGAAGTGTTTACCGACGAATGAGAAGTTTTGGCTTGTTTTCATACCGGCCACACTCGGTCCTCCCTTTAACTCGGGAACACCGACGTAATCGCCTTGAGTGGTGCACACAACGGTCACTCTGGGATCAGGAATGGAACAGTATTGTCTTTAGTGACGAGTCTCGATTTTGTTTAGGCATGCACGATGGTCGTGCCAGGGTTAGAAGGCGACGTGGTGAAAGGAGGAATCCACAGTTTTTTGTTGAAAGACATGTTCATCACACTGTTGGAGTTATGGTTTGGGATGCTATAGCTTATGGTTCCAGGTCACCTTTAATCTTCATCAGAGGTAACATGAACGCGCAGCGTTATATCCACGAATTTCTAGAACCCCATCTTTTACCCTATCTTGACACCCTGGCAGATCCAACTTTCCAACAAGATAATGCCCGAGCACATGTTGCAAGAGTCACAATAGACTTCTTTCAACATAATGATGTCACATTGTTACCAGGGCCACCAAGATCTCCCGACTTATCCCCAATTGAGCACGTATGGGATATGATGAGTAGGAGATTGCTCAATTTGCAACGTCCTCCTCAGACTCTAGAAGCACTTCGAGAGGAGTTGGTGGTTGCTGAGATACCACAGGAGGACATTGACCACCTGATCAGAAGCATGCCTAGGCGCGTTGGAGAATGCGTAGCACATCAGGGTGCATCCACACATTATTAAAGGTCAAAGGGCTTTAAAGCAGTGCAATCATTTTGAAATTTTTATCATTTACTTATTATGCTTCATTAAGTACTTATACAAAATTTTATTAAAATAAAACCATTCAAACTGGGTGTTCGGATTTATATATGTCACTTAGTATATTTGTTTCTGGACTCGACGTCGGCTTGTCTGTTCTCTACAGTGGGGTTTTGTAAGAAGGTTCTGTGTGCCGTGATCTTCTGCTGGCGAGCAGTGTCACACGATTTGTATATATATATATATACAGATATATACAGGGTGGCGCATCGAAAACGAAACAGACCCATTTATTGGCAGCTCAGTTTTTTTTTTGGAAAAACGTTCAGACCCGTCGATTTTGTTTTCGAGAGGGATACAAGTATGGCAAAAAATCACGTTAACACGTGCAGCCCCCTGGGCGGCGCGGGGGTGACACCAACCCTAAAATCTTAAATGGAAAGGGGGGTCGAGTGATACCTTATTTTAAAGGTCTTTCAATTCCGTTTATAATGATATAAAATTAATGTACAGTAGTTTTGAAGATTTATTGATTTAAAGCTTAAAGTAAACTTTAATAGGTACATCAGATTAGTTTGTACTACTTTCAGAAGAAATTTGACTTAAAGAAGTTACTTAATAAGTAAATACTTTTCTTCACTACGCCCATGGTTTGTTTATCATTTCGTTGTTAAAAATAGCTATTGAAGCGTTTTTTTTTTGTGGCAAAAAAGTTATTTCTTGAAGAAAGATAAGGAAATATCTCGTACTTATTTTAAATAGGAATTTAGTGCATAGTTTGCGATTGATTTGACCAAACCTTGTTGCTAGAATAACTTGTAATAAATTGAACATGGCATATTTCACAGCAGAAAAAGTTGAAATTATCGAAATATTTTTCGGAAATAATCAGTGCTCTAATAGAACAGCAGAAATATTTAATGAGCGACATGAGAACAGTAACGTGCATCGAAAATATGTTCTAGAACTTGTAGCTAATTTTCGGGAAACTGGGTCAGTCGCCAATAAAAAACGCAACATTGAAAATCTCACAAGGAACGAATCAATTGAAGTGGGGGTTTTAGGGCAAGTTTATGTAGATCCTACGTTAAGTACCCGCAAATTGGAGACTGTGTGTGGTGTTAGTCGACGTACTGTCCAACGGATTCTAAAGGCCCATTGTTTTCATCCGTATGGAATTCACCTGGTACAAGAACTTAATGAAGACGATTTTGATCGGAGATTACAATTTTGTGAAGATATGAGTGAACGAATTATAAACGATGAACATTTTCTATTCAACACTTGCTTTTCCGACGAATGTTCCTTTTTCTTAAATGGCGTAGTAAATCGTCATAACTGCCGATATTGGTCCGATTCTAATCCCAGAATTTATCAGGTTCATACACAGCAGTCAGAAAAATTAAATGTTTGGGCTGGTATTTTTGGCGATCATTTAGTTGGTTTTTTCTTACCTGGAAATTTGACCGGTGAAATGTATTTGGAATTACTGGAAGACGCCATAGATCCTGCATTAACAGCCATAATTGAAAATCAGAATGATCGGCGGTACATTGCGAATAGGTTGATGTTCCAACAGGATGGTGCCCCACCACATTACGCATTACGTGTTCGACGTGTAGATCAGACGTTTCCAGATCGTTGGAATGGCCCCCAAGATCGCCAGATTTATGACCTTGGATTTCTTTATGTCATTTAAAAAGCAAAATCGATGCTACTTAGCCAACATCATTAGAAGACCAGCGACAAAGAATTGTGAAT